AGAAAACTGGGGGGGATGAGGCCAGGAGAGGGGCGAGGCTGGGGCCGCCAGGCTCAGTGCAACCACCCCGAGCCCGCAGTGCAGAAACGCACAGGACGCCCACGCTGTCCCCGGCCCTCGGAGAACTCACGGAGCCGCATTACACTGCGACTCCAGCAGGGGGCAGCGGAGCCCTCATCCCACGCCAGGCAGACAGCGCGAGCTAACTGGGGGGGATGAGGCCAGGAGAGGGGCGAGGCTGGGGCCGCCAGGCTCAGTGCAACCACCCCGAGCCCGCAGTGCAGAAACGCACAGGACGCCCACGCTGTCCCCGGCCCTCGGAGAACTCACGGAGCCGCATTACACTGCGACTCCAGCAGGGGGCAGCGGAGCCCTCATCCCACGCCAGGCAGACAGCGCGAGCTCGAGGTTCTTTCCTTTGCATAGATCTCCCTCCCCACCAATAGGTGCTGGGTGCTCTAATTGTCTACCACTTGCGAGTTACCACCCTGGGCCCTCATTGGCTGCCTCAATTTCTGCTGCCTGTCCTCATGGGCTGGCTGTATTCGGGCCCCGCCCCTCACCCGTGACCCACCTGGTACCGCAGCAGCACCACGTTGTAGTACGAGGCCGCGGAGTTCTGCTCGGCCTGGCGCTGCAGTGCCTCGGTCAGAGCAGCCATGTTGAGCCAGAAGTCTTTGGTCTCTGGGTCGCTCTGGGAGGGGTCACTGCGGTGACAGGTACCCAGGAGCGCGAACTCAGGACACACCTTCCCAGGGCTCCCTAGAGCTGCCATTCCTCAGGCCACCCTGGGCTCAGCAAAGCCTCCGTGGGTGAGGGCAGGAAGGCAGGGGAAGCCAGGTTCAGAGAGGGACACACGGGACACTGGGACACACAGCTACCCCCCCCCCCACAGCGGGACTTCAAGGTCCTCCCACTTCCCATCCAGGGACCTGAAGAGCAGCTCTGCGTTGGGCTGGAAGTGCTCGATGCCAGCCGTGTGGATGAGCCGGAAGCTGAGCACCGGCGGGGGCGGGGTCCCGCTGAACACGCGCATGATGCCGGCCGGGAAGGTCATGGTCAGCTCTCCGGTGACCCGAGCCGCGCAGCTGGGGCAGGGAAGACGGTGTCAGGTCAGGGCTCTGCCTGGCTCTGCATCCTCCTTTCGCGGGTCCACTACACTGTGTGGCTTCCCAGGTATCTTAATATACAGCAAGACCCTGGATGTACCCTGGCTCCTTCCCCGACCTCCTCCTCCTCCTGCTCTGCTTGGACAGGGAGAGTCCGCCGTGGGCTGAAGAAGGCAGGACTATCCCCTCTCACGTCCCTTTTCGCCTAGGCTACCAGGAAGCTCAAAACAGAATGGTTCTGTTTTTTAACTCCTTAGCTTGAGTTTTAACATTGTCTCCCTCCTTGTGGTTTGACATTAAAGGCTTTTCTACTAGATGTCAACCGTAGCCCTGTGTACCTGGGGCTGTGGCCACGGAAGTAGGCGTGGACATACTCCGTGAAGGCGGTGGCCACAGGCAGCGCATCCTGGGAGCCCAGGACTACAGGGCTGGGGCCCCGGGAGACACCTGGGGGTGGTGGGAGGTTAGATAGATGCAGACAGCTGGCACAGACTACAGACTCCCCCAACAGGGCCTCCAGCTTCTCAGCCACCCACCAGGCCAGAGAAGGGGAAACGGAGGCAGGGGCGGGGTGGCCCCACCTACCGTGTCCAGTCTGGCACGAGAAGCTGGGCCGATCCGGGGCGATGCTGGGGGCCGATGAGCCCAGAGGGGCGGGGCTCAGGGACCGGGACTGCAGGGCAGAGGGGAGCGGCTGGCAGCTGTGCCGGAAGCTGCCCCAGCCCAGGCCCCGCGACGCCCCAGGACCTACCAGGTCGCCGTTGCTCCGGGTGAGGGGACACGACACCTTCCTGGAGCGTGGTCTCCGGACTGGGGCTGCCAGGCCCTCCCTGGAGACGGGAGCTGCGGTTGTCGGGTCTGGGCACAAATTCAGAAAATGGGCATCACTGAAATGCTGCCCAGGGCCTCCAGGGCCTCCCCAGGGGCAGAAGCTCAGCCCAGAACAGAGAGGAGGGGGGCTTTCGGGACGACCTGCGGCTTGACGTCCTATAGACCATGCCCACACCCCTGTACGTCTCAGACATCAAGCTGGTGGCCAGGTAAGGGGTGAGCCCTCTGTCACTGGAGGTATGGAAGCAAGGGCTTGTGGCTTAGGCGGTGGGCATGCTACAGGGGGGCTTGGTGGGGGATTTCTAATCACGGCAGCTCCGATGTCCCTTCCCGGGGAGGGGTCTGCAGGCTGGGCCCCCAGGTGGCCCGCAGTCACCGCACTCCACTCCAGGCGCTCGCAGACCCACCCTCCGCACTCACCACCTTGGGCTTCCAGCCCCCACGGTCCTGGAGATGGTGCCAGGGGTTGCGGCGAGTTGGGTGGTGGTGGGACCCGGGCCGCTCTGGATTCTGGAAGCTGTGCCCTGCAGCTGGGTGGGCTCTGTGGGGTGCCTGGTTGAGGAACCCAGGAATCTGGCGAGGGGCCAGTAGCTGCATGGGATGGAGAGTCCAAACCAGAGTCCTCCACGTTCTCCGGTGAGGAGGAGGAGAAAGGGGAGGGGCTGGAGGTGAAGCTGAGAGGGGAGAGGGGAGGGGCGATCAGCCTGGGCCACACCCACCCACGAGCCACACCCACACCCATTCCTAGCCAGGGACGCCCATTCACCAACTGGCCCCACCCACCGAGGCACAGGTCTCTACCCTCTGTGGCTCCGCCCACTTTCACCAGGACTGCCTCTGCTCTAGAAAAGACCTCCAACACCCATAGCCCCACCCTCCGACAGAGAGGGGAGGGGCGATCAGCCTGGGCCACACCCACCCACGAGCCACACCCACACCCATTCCTAGCCAGGGACGCCCATTCACCAACTGGCCCCACCCACCGAGGCACAGGTCTCTACCCTCTGTGGCTCCGCCCACTTTCACCAGGACTGCCTCTGCTCTAGAAAAGACCTCCAACACCCATAGCCCCACCCTCCGACACGGCCCCGCCCACTACGTTAAAGAGCTCCACCCCCTGGGGCCCTGCCCACTCATAAGCGGCCCCAGCTGGCGGGCTGGGTGTGCACATTGGTCCTCTCTCTGCCCTCCTACGCATCTATCTTTTCATTGGCCCCGCCTACGCGCAAGCCCTGCCCACGCCGAAGTCCCGCCCCTCACCCGTGAAGTCTTCGTGGTCCGCTGCTGACTCCAGGGGTGGCCCGAAGAGGCTCCTGGACGCCTGCTCATCCGAGGATGACAGCTTCTCTGTGCAGCTGCGGGCGGACAAGGCCGAGAGGGCTGCGCTGTTCTCCACAGCCTCTCGCCTCAGGCCCCCGCACCTGCCAGTCCCTGCCTTGGGCTCTGTTCCCGCTGTTCTCTCTGCGGAGCTTTCTACTTCCCAGGGCTCAGCTCCAAGTTACCCTCTCCCGGAGACCCCCACCATCACCCCGGGAAGTCAGCCCTGCGTCCTGTTCCAGCCCTCAGGGAGCCCTCTCGTTTCTATTGTCTTTATTCCTGTAGCTTTTCGAAGCAGGGTCTCACTGTGTACCGCACGCTGGCCTAGAACTCACGGCGATCCTCCTGCCTCAGCCTCCTGAGGGCTGTCCTCACAGCGTGACTCAGAGAAGCGATAGCCCTGTCTTGGTCCTACAACCCTCCCCCAAACCATCATGGCACAAGTACACGGCAGGGGCTTAATCGGTGCCCGCCACACAGGTGGCTAAGCGTCCCTTGCTGAGCAGCACGGGTAGGGACAGCGGAGGCGGTGGGGTGGGCCGGTCCGCTGCCCGCGCACTGCTCCTGCACGGCCCGCGGAACCCACCTGCTGGCTCTTGGCGCGGACCTCGGTCTCTGCGGCTTCCCAGCAGTGTCGCCTGCGGGGGAAGCAGCCGTGAGCTTCCGTCTGCAGATCGCTAGGCAGCCGCTCTGCCCGAGACCCCTTGGGCTCTCACTGAACTTCGGAGCCCACCGCGCAGCCCAGCTGCTCTGCCCCCGAATCCCACGAAGCTGAGACCGGAAACCCACGCC